TTTTACCAAAAAGTTTGCCCCCTCAGAACATGTGCCATTCTTTATTTGTTTTTGCCTAGCTCCTGCCACACCACTAAAACTTAGCAGTTTATCTCCCTTAATGCTTCGATATTTCCTAGTGCCTGTAAGTGACCGACAAATTGAGTCATAAGTCGTAACTTGTAAGGGTGACCATGTGTCTGGTGAGGTGGTGACCGGTGACTGATTTCAGGTGCGTGACCATGTGTCCATTCCCGATTTGGCCGATTTGGCAAAGCAAGTACTATTGTGTATTGCTTCCGGTTCTCATCGAGGTACACAAACTAGGTGATAAATAATTACTAGTGCTTGTTTCTGCCTCACTGATTGATCGAGTACTATATCCTGGGTGAATCAGTGTCGACTTGCAGTTTAACAAACAACAACCAAGAATCAAAACTAGCAAATCATAAATTAGTGGTTCTAATGTAATGCTGCTAGATGGATCAAACTGATTTTTCCCCATAAAATAACCATTTAGCTCAATTCTTAAATCGATCAACTTAAACTTACACAAAGAACTCAATGTAACAGCTAACTATGTGAACTCAAATTAACCCATACAACTAATTTTCTCTGGTCTAAACTGTAAAGTGCAATTACCAATTTACCATTTATTTAAATAAAAAAGGAAATAATATGGGTACTGGTCTCACTCTTTTTTGTACTGTCCCTACTTGAGTATTTTTCCCTAAGTGCCTCTATTTTCTTACTGTAGATCAGACATGATTGCTATTATATTAATTTCTTGATTAAAATTTTAGTTTAATAGATTTTGTGCTATGTGCAACCTTGACTGTTTAATTTTTGCAGTATAATTCACACATCTATTTAAGACTTTGGTCCCTATATTCGTTGCAGAGACGATCTGTTTGTGAAATGAGCATGGCTGCTTTGCTAGATAACCATGTGAGTAGTTTTCTGGTATAAATGTTGATTAATGCTAAGATTTCTTCCTTTATGCAGATTCCAGGCCCTCCGCCTCCTAAAGGCTCACTGATTGAGGGTCAGAATCCTCTGGGAATGTGGGCTATGAAGTTGCCTTCCGCTGACACAGTGGTCCTGAAGAGAACTCTATCAACCTTGACTGAGCATCCTGAGGGCCTTCCTGGTGCAGAAGAAACCCCAGAGTACGCTGAACACAGGAAGAAGTTCTGGTCTTCTGTCAAACCTGCCCATTTCGGAGTGAAGATCGCCTCCAGATCCCTGATGATGCTCGTGCGCTTCATCTTCACCGGAATCTTCATTGGCCTGCTCGCCAACTTCTCCTTTGGCAGGTCCCTCCTGCTGAAGTACCCTGAGTTTTTCTCCGCTGGGATGTTCAGGAGAGCCGGGCCGACTGAGGAAGAGGTGAAGAGCGCCTCGTTCAAGATGTGGTTTGTCGGGCACGGCTACAGCAACGTGGATAGCTCGTTGGAGCTCGGAAGAAGCAAGCCGGACAAGGAGGTGATCACCAAGGTTTCGGGACCTGAGGTCGGTTACATCACAACTCCGATCGTGCTGGTGCAGTGCGCCCTCGTCCTGCTGAGCCAGCGTGCCAACCTGCCCAAGGGCGGCGTGTACACGCCGGGTGCCGTCTTCGGCCCTACCGACCTCCGGCAGCGCCTCCAGGAGAACGGGCTGTCATTCGAGGTTAACGCGACTAGGGCCATGCACTGAAGTTCACTGCTCCATTCAGTGCATCCAGTGGAAAAAAATGGGAGAAGGATGCAACCTGAGCAATAATAAGCGCAAAGTAGCGACTTAATTGTGTATGTGGTATAGTCCTATGGAATCTTACTACCACAATACCTTCTAAAGTACTCCGTACCTAGTTTCTTATTCGTATGCTGTGTTTATATGAGGTGACAATAGGAAAACGCTGTGCTAATCCGTGTCATCGTGTCCTGTAGAGAGGGGTTGCAACGTGTAATGCCAGACTCGGCATGCTATGTGCCTATGTGGAAGGAAAGATGCTACCAAGTGCAATACGTGAGGTCCAAATTCTGAACTGGTGTTGCTTTCTATGTTATTGTGGACATTGTTTAGCCTAAACTATCGTTTAGCTCACTTACACATCGTTTAAATGCTACACATGGTACACCGTTTCTGATTTTTCGTTTAATCGGTTGTTTTGACCTTTTAAATGGTCATTTTGCCTGTTTAAACACACGTCTTGCCTGAATAATGGTGCCCGCAAAAAAGTTCTTCGACTTGAGTGAGGGCCACCCCTCACGATCTTCCTCTGATCCAGACGTACAGTGATTGCATTTGAGCGTTCTATCATCTGGCGAGCGTAAGCTTTGGACTCACAAAGTCACGATTTTACCTACTACTAGATCCGTATGTTTTTAAACTCTTCTGTATCCGTATCTTCGTCATGCTATACAGTGCCAAAGATTCTCAATAAGCAGAAGGTGTTTTGGAAGAAGCGTTTCAAATGAGGTCTTAGCTTGTTTTTTTACTAGGATAGGAAGGTCAAATTCTTCATGGCAGGCTAAACTTTGGCCATCAAACCAAATAGAAACCAAAATATCAGTCATGAGCACATGACCAGTATTTGGTTTGGCACTGTAAAACCAGAACCAAGTGTTTGGCGTCTGGTGATGGCATGCCAAGCCGCCTACTTTGCAGTTTCGACGCAACTAGCGCCCGGACGTTCGGGCGCGAAGACACGTGCCGGACGACCCTCGGGCCATCCGATTGAGATAATAGGAGTCGTCTAAATCCCATCGAATAAAGCAACGGAAATAAAAGCAGACCTATCCGATGCAATAGAACGAAGCGGCGCGCCCCGCGTTTGAAAACGAGCCCAGCGCTGCGCCGTGCCTCATCGCGTCGCCATCCCCGTCGTGCCGCCATCCCATGCGCGCCCGTTGCCCTCCATGCCCATCCCCACCGTGCTCCATCACCCGAATGTCTAATGAGAAATTTTTCATCGGGAGATCTGTTGCAACACGGAGCATGCAACATAAAAAAAAGTCTACTACAACATCAGAACAAGTCTACTGCAACAACAGAACAAAGCTACTGCAATGCGAGATGCAAGATCTGAAAAAAAATACTAATACAACAAAGAAATATTACTTGTTGCAACATCAGAACAAAGCTACTGCAGCAATAGAACAAAGCGCAATGCGAGAAGCAACATCAGAACAAAAAAAATGATGCAACAAAGAAATATTATTTGTTGCAACATCAGAACAAGGCTACTGCAACAACAGAACAAAACGCAATGCGAGAAGCAACATCAGAAAAATAGACTAATGCAATAAAGAAAAATTACTTGTTGCAACATCAGAACCAGGCTATTGCAATGCGAGATGCAACATCATAAACAAAAAAAGAGACTAATGCAACAAAGAAATATTACTTGTTGCAACAACAAAACAAGGCTAGTGCAACAGAGCTCGCCGGAACCTTAGCCACCACCGCACCCCTTAGATCGAGGAGGGCTCAGATCCAGAGGAGGAGGAGAGGGAGCGCTCAGATCCAGATGATGAGGGAAGGGAGGGCTTAGATACAAAGAATGACCGACCTATCTCGTCGGAGCCACCGCGGTCGTCCTTGTCTCCGATGGGGGAGGGAGCGAGGAAGGGAGTGCAGGCGGCGGGATGACTACGAGCTGTGGGGCGTGGCGTCCATCCTAGGGGCGCAAGCAGGCCCGGAGCGCGGCACGGCGGAGCGGCAATGAGTGGTATGCGGGGGAACAGAGTGGGTCATGGGATGGCGGAGAAGCAACGAGTGGGCGCGGGGGGAGCGGGATGGATCACGGGATGGGATAACGATGCTGATGGGACAAGGAGCAGGGGTCGCGGGGCCGCGTCCGGACGGAAGTTCGCTGCAGACGCCCAGTTCGTATCAATTTCGTTGCAGTTTGCATGCCGGGTTTTAGGTACTCGAAAATAGACCTGTGTACTGCCTGTATTGGTATGGTCTCTTTGCCAACTCTCAAACAAGTTGTGTCCGTACAATATTTGTTTCTCACAGCAAATCAGTATCAGCCGGTTTATCGGTGACACAAAAACCATCAGCCTTCTTATTTTCTTCTTCTTTTTTAACTTTTCTTTAGTTCTTTGACCAGCCTTTGGGTCAATTGGTCAAACGATGGTTTCGGTGCCTCTCATACTGGAACGAGATCATACTGGGGTACTGTCTCCTTTCCAAACAGTTTTGAATCTGGTCAAGCGCGGAACGGAGGAGTATTGCAAAAAATTGTTTTCATTAAAGTTTTAGCTCCGAAATAAGTGTATGTTTCACCAATGTTTTATCTATAAATAAGTGTTTGTAAAGGGTTAATTTTTTTTTTGGGGGTTGGGGTGGGGGAAGAGGCAGACGACCGTGGACAACGGTGGAGTGCATTTAACTCGTCCTTCTGACAGATTCTCTCGTAAACGTTTTGGATGCAATTTCTTTTTAGGGGATGTTTGTTCTATAGTCGCTTCTAAATTTCATGTCACATCGAATGTTTAGATACTAATAAGGAACATTAAATATATATTAATTATAAAACCAATTATATAGATGGAGGTTAATTTGCGAGACTATTTTTAAGCCTAATTAACCTGTCATTAGCACATGTTTACTGTAGCATCACGTTGTCAAATCATGAACTAATTAGGTTTAAAAGATTCGTCTCGCAAATTAGTCGCAAGTTGTGCAATTAATTTCGTAATTAGTATATATTTAATACTCCATGCATGTGTCTAAACATTCGATGTGATGTAAATTTTAAAGCGCATGTAGAAACCAAACAAGGCCTTAGAAACGTTTATTCGGTGAATCGAACTGATTTCTCAAATCGTTTGGCAGTTTTTCAGATTCTGATTTTTGAAGGTTGGCGAAAACCATTTGTTTACATGAAAAAATCATAAAATATATAGGTTTTTGGAAAAAATTGTTAATTATTTTTAAGGTGAAGATAAATCAAAAGCAACCAATTTTAATTGGTTTCATTTGAGGAGGATCACTACAGATATTTTTAGATTAGATGGGAGGTAGAAATGCAAGAAACAAAATATGAAGAAACTACTCTGGAGGTAATTTTGATCTCTATATAATCATAAAAAAACGTTTCTACTCCCTAAAGTTAGTATCTTGTTTGACCGTTTGAAAGAGTTTCTTCTGATTCCAGAGAGAATGGGTGTGTTTGGGTTTTTCGACCAACTTCTAACCTGGCTAGAATCTCGTCCCCTGTTTGCTTGGGCTTGTTTGGTTTATAAGTGGCCATTGAAAAGATTGTTGGTGATTTGATGTGAGAGAAAAATATTGTTCGTTAGGCTGATAGTTGCATTAGCTTATAAACCAAAATCTGACTAAAACAAGCAATACTGCTAGCCTGAACCGCTTTAATCTGCTCCCACCAAGTCTGTTTGGTTGTACTATAGTAGCTTGGGTAGACTCGTTGTGCGGTTTGTTTTGATACATAGCCAGAGCGGCATCATCGTCGTGGGTCCGAGCTTCTCACGGACTGCAACTACGCCGTCATGGGTGAAACGGAGTTGATTGACAAGGCCGGCCCCAAGGGCTACAAGCTCGACAAGCACAAACTCGAGCTGGAGCTCGAAGATGAGGCGGCGGCCGCCGCCGGCGACTCGTCTGCCGTCGTCACGGTTGGCAGGGTCTGCACGGCAGTGGCGGCGCACATGAAGACGCACCCGAGAACTCGGTCAAAGTGAATTGGATGAACACACACAAAGAAAGAGCTAAATATAGAAAGACTCAAGCTTGCCTTCGCATGAACCAAGCGCACGCGTCAAGCTTAGAACACTGAAACGAGCTAACTGAAGAAACTGAATTAGCTAATCTAGACTGACGAAACTGAATGAAAAAAACAGACCCTGAAGTAGCAGGACGGTGAACAGCCAGAGTAGATCAACAAGTAGCAGGGCGAGCACGGCAGCACCAGGGCAAAATCTGTAGACGAAGCTGCCGAATCGTTCGCCCAGGAGCACGGCAGCCAGAGTTAATGCATGTGCTAACACTAGGGCTTCATTTTAAAGATATACAAGAAAACAACCAAACGACGATATATTTTTTCATAGTTTAAGTTTAACGCAATTGTATATGATAAAGAATATAATACGAAAAACACTTATGCATAACAAGGCATAATAAAGTTGTCTCACCTTAACCATCTAATTTAGAATCTGCTTAAGACCTTCTCGGCCTCGCCTCCCCGAAGGCACGAGCGTCTCGCATGCCCCAGACTCCCAGACGCCACCGCCGCTCGGTCCATCGACGGTGCAGGTAGCCGTGCCATGCCACGACGCCCACCTCGCGCCATGCCGAGGTCGTCGCCGATCCACGCCAACTCTGATGACCCGAAGCCATGCGTCGTCCCGGGCCGTCCTGGCCGAGCTCGTCCTCGTCTCGCCGCTATAGATGTGCATGCAGCCCGAGCCCGTCAGCCCAGCACGAACCCCTTTTTTTGGCCCGGCCCGATGGCTAGCGGGCTCAGGCTGGCACGGCACGAGGGAGCAGGGCGTGCCTGGGCCTTACCCCAGGCACGTGGGCTGGCCCGGCACGGCCCGTAAAATGGCCAAAGGCCCAACAACAGCTCAGCAGGCCGGCCCTCCTCTCTTAACCCTACCGCCTACCCTCTCCCTCCCCCGTCGCCGCACTCTGCTCTCTCTCGCCTAGTCGCTCGCCTCGCCTCCTCCCAGCTCTCGCTCGCTCCCTCTCTTCTTCGCGACTCGTCGGCGGGGTGCGCCGCCGCGGGCTCCTCTCCTCCTGCCGCCACCTCCCACCTCCACTCCAACCCGCCGCCGCACTCCCTACCGCTCGCGGTCGCGAGTCGGCGTTGCGACTCGCTTGCCACGTCGCCTCCCCACCCTACTCTCTCTCCCGCACGACTCGCCTCCCTGCCGGCCACCGCACTCTCCCGACTCGCCTCCACGTCCCCCAGCGGCGAGCTGCCGACGGTGGCTACTGCCTCCTCACCGCCCCGCACTGTCGCCGACGGTGGCCACCTCCTCCTCACCGCCACGCGTTGCCGCTCCTCCCCATGCCTCCTCTGCGCGGATCCAGCCTCCTCATTGCTCATCCTTCGCAGATCCAGCCAAGTAGAGGTGCGGAGAGGTCGGGGATGGAGAGGTCGCGTCGTCCACGGCCTTCGCAACGACGACAGCCTGGCCTCCCCCTCTCTCTCTCTGTCGGTGTAGTGGGCCTTGGGCCGGCCCGGCACGCTGAATTAGCCGTGCTTCTCGGGCCGGGCCGCACGAAAAACGAGCCAGTAGGCCGTGCCTGGGCCGTCGGCCAGGCACGAAGCCCATGGCGGCACGGCCCGTAGGGCACGTCGTGCCTTGTTGGCCCGACCCCCATCGGGTCATGCCGGGCCGGCCCGTTGGACATCTATACTCGCCGCCCTTAAGCAAAGTTTGCCGAGTATCAGTCCTTGACATGACCCTCATCATCACCAGCCAACCTGCATGAACTCACTAATATTTCTCCCTGTGATAATTTGTTCATCATTCCAAACAGAAGGTTTGGAGATCTGAACCCAGATCCATACGTGTTTTCTTTGATTCCTGCCGTCCTGGTCCGCCCAGCCCTCGGCGCCGGCGGTTGGCGATCACAGCTCACAGGCGGAGCGGAGGCACGGAGCAGTAACACTAATACGACGTCGCGACCGTACGATCTGACCGGTGTCTGGTCTGGGCATAGAACGGTGGAGTGGTCAAGTGCCAAACGCGCGCGGCGCGGCCGTCGTTTTCGGTCCCGGCAGGCTGCTTGGTTGGTTCTCGTCTCCGAATCAAATCGGGGTTCGTTGATTCGGTGCCTTCCTGTCTTTTCCGGCAGCGGGGTCCCGCGCGGCCGCTTTCGTGAACCGGCAGAGGCAAAAAAACGAAGCGCAGATTGGGTGGGCGCAGGGCGTTGCGCGGCGCGGGCACGCTCATCGCTCATCGCTCATCGGGTGTCCGACTTCCCGTCCAAACGTCCGCGCCGCGCGCCTCAGGTTTGGACGCAAACCGCCGGCGCGACCGGCGGCATCGAGAGGCCGAGACCGAGACATGGGCGGACGAGCGGTGGCCGGCGCGAGTGGGACGGGCAGCAGCTTGGTGGTCTTTCCTCGGTGGATTCGTGCCGTTCCCTCGCGCGCGTGGCAGCGTGTGCGCCCGCGCCTGTTGTTAACCCGCCGGGGGGCAGTAAACAAAGACTAACGGTTCGAAAGCGATTTGTTTTGTTTGGAAAAGGGAACGAATGAAGCCAAGTGCTTGTTTGGTTCGCCGTGCACGCACGCGTTCTCCCTCCGTGTGGATTGTTGCCAAGGCCCACCACTACTCGTTGCCGGAATGCCGGTGGTCATGATTCAAGATTCATCGGCGCTTTATTTTTCACTCTGTTCAGCTTTGGCCTTTGGGTTCACATCCGGCCATGGACCTATCCGACTAGTATCAGTAGTATGCATCGATGCAATGCGTGCAGCATGCTCCGCTAACGGCTTATGCTACTTTGTGAAGATCAAAGACTTGGAGGTTCCATACCTTGGAGTGCCACCCAAATGCGCACTGGCGGACGACAGAACTGTATGGAGATGGACGACGGACGGCCAGTTCACGGTCAAGTCAGCGTACGTGGCCCTCCACTCCGCTTCGCACCTAAGGCTGGACGAAAAACTCGAAGCTCGTTAGCTCGCTTGGTTCATGGCTGGCTCGGCTCGTCTCGTTATGATAACGAGCCGAGCCCAGCTAAGATTTTAGCTCGTTAGCTATAACGAGCCAACTCGAGCCAGCTCGCGAGCTAAACGAGTCAAGCTTTCAGGAAAAAAATTATCAAAACTTATATTAGTTTTTGTATTACTTTATGTCTTGCACTTTACAATTGACTAGTAACTGGTCTAGATCCTATAAATTGACTGGTAACTGGTCTAGATGTATTTCTTTTATATTATTATTATTCTCAAACTTTAGATAAATGCAAATATTATATTTTGTGTATTTTTTATACCTGGTTCGCGAGCTTAATGAGCCAGCTCAAGCTTTTAACGAGCCGAATGAAATTTGGCTTCTGGCTCGTTAGGATAACGAATTTGAGCTGAAATTTTAGCTCGTTATCTTAACGAGCCGAGCCTAACCGAGCCGGGCCAGCTCGTTATCGAGACTTATTCGCACCCGATCCCTGGATGCAGCCTCGTCTGGGAAACATGGGCGCCTCTCCGCGTCAAAATGTTTCTGTGGCTTGCACTACGTCCGAAGCAATGGACAGCGGACCGTCGGCGCAGGCATGGTCTGGACGCCAATGATGTAAGCTTCCTCTGCGACCAGGAGCCGGAGACCATAGACCATCATTGTCTCATGCTCCTTCAGCAAGCAGGTATGGTGAAACGTCCTTGTGGCACTTGGATACACACAAGCAGCCTGTTCGGTTGGCTGGTTCGTTTCGTTGCTGGTTCGTGAAGAAGTACTGCTAGCTGATTTGTGTGAGAGGAAAATACTGTTCCGACTAAAAATTTACGATCGTTTACGACAAGCCACAGCCAAACGAACAGGCTGAAGGCCTCCCCAACGGCAACAGTCTTCCACTGATGGACCTCCTGGAGATCGACATGGACTCGCACCAATAGGAGCGGAGCATACTCCGTTTTCGCTCGAGTTGCCTGGGAGCTATGGAAGGAGAGAAATACGAGATGTTTCCGGGGTGCCACCACCCAGCTACAACAGCTACTTGCCATAATCAAGCATGAGGCCGGGCAATGGATGCAAGCAGGCGCAAGACATATGGGTTGTTTACTTTCCAGGATAGTAGCCTAAGAAATTTTTGGGCACTAGGGGGCATGAGCTTCACTATAGTTTCTTGAGCCCCCTAAGCCATGCTACAGCATTTGTAATCCAAAATTCCTTCCTACTTAATACAAAGACGTGTAAGTCTTTTGCTTGTTCGAGAAAAAAAAAGGCTTGGAGGTTTAAATAATTGAGTACTAAGTTTGGATTACTTGCGAAAACCCTTCACGTGCGTTTGACAAAAAAAACAATAGTTGACCGCTCGACGATGTCTAATAAATGTCTAACCTTTGACCGGACGCCTGAATCGCTTCTACTGCACGGCGCGACGTTCATAGAATCGTAGGCGTGCGTCATGAGGTTGCGACGTTCATAGAAGGATTCATAGGCGTGCGTGATGAGGTACAGGTTCAGACACTTTCAGAACTGTCATGGTTCGAGGAAGAAGCCACGGCGAATGCCCCCGAGATACGAGGAAAGGGGCGCTGCCAGTTTGCAACAGCCATCACTGCACCTGCACGCCTAGGATACTGGATACGATCGCATCGCAATTTGCAAGGGATGGAACTGGAAGCTGGAAAATCAAAGTTCTTGTTTGCATGAGAATGTGCATATGTACTACTTACAGCCAAAATTGCATCTAGCCCTCTCCTACCTTCTGTTATCCACATTATGAATCAATGACGAACTAATATATAACAATAGCTAAAAACAAGCGAAAGGGGAAGAAAAACGATGACCTAAACTCGTCACGTGAATTCGAGGTGCGCGCCGCCGTTCTCGGCCACGTCGAGCAGCGCGGCGAGCACGTCCGGCATGTCGGGCCGCTCCTGAGGCGCGTCCGCCGTGCACCGCATGCCGAGCATCAGGAGCTCCCAGGACACGGTGCCGACGGCCGCCGCAGCCTTCTCCGACGACGACCGCCACCCTTCTCTGGCCATCCGCCGGGCCCACTCCACCAGGCACTCGTCCTCGGCGCCGTCCACGGCGAAGCGGCCCGTGGCGAGCTCCATCAGGAGCACGCCGTAGCTGTACACGTCACCCTTGGTCGTGGCGCGCCACGTCTGCCCGTACTCGGGGGCCACGTACCCGACGGTCCCGGCCACCACCGTGCTCACGTGCGTGTCGCCGGGCCGGACCACGCGGGCCAGCCCGAAGTCCGTCACCCTGGCGCGCCCGTCCCGGTCCAGCAGCACGTTGCTGGCCTTCACGTCCCGGTGCACCACCGCGGGGCGGCACTCGTGGTTCAGGAACACCAGCGCGCGCGCCACGCCGATCGCCGCGTCCAGCCGCCGCCCCCACCCGAACGCGGCCGTGTCGCCGATCAGCGACTCCAGGTTGCCGCCGTCCAGGTACTCGTACACCAGGATCTTGGCCGACCCGGACAGGCACCACCCGTAGAGCGTGACGAGGTTCGGGTGCGGCCACGTCGACCCCATCCGGTCGGCGAGCACCTCCATCTCGGCGCGGAACTCGCGCTCGCAGTCGCCGTCGCCGTCGCGCGGCCTCGCGAGCTTCTTCACGGCCACGGTGCGGCCGTCGGGGAGCACGCCACGGTACACCACGCCGTAGCCGCCACGCCCGATCACCAGGTCGTCCGAGAAGTTCCCCGTGGCCGCCACGATGTCGCGGTAGGTGAACGCCGTCTTGCCGAGCTGGAACACCTTCACCCCTCCGTCGAGGAGGAGCACCCGTCGTCGCCGACGACGATGACCCGGACGGTGGCGACGACGTCGTCGACATCTGCAGAGAGCACTTCCGGAGCTGCACTTGGGGTTCTCGCACGAGAACGACTCGGGGTCGGGTCTTGGTCCACGGGGAACCGCGCACGCAGATTGGCCATGAAGAACACGAAGGCGCCGGTGACGAAGGCGGCGAGGAGCGAGAACAGGAACCACACCGCGATGCTTCTGGAGTCATGCCGCGCCTTCGAGCATCCGCAGCTTCCGGAGGCGGCCGCATACCACCGGTACCTCTCTCGAATGAAATGAGTGGGTCGCCGAGGAAGGACTGCTCGTCGAAGGTGCCGAATTGGGCGGTGGTGGGGACGCTGCCGGTGAGAAGCGGGTTGTAGGACACGTTGAACTTGGTCAGGTACGTGAGCTGGCTCAGACTTCCCGGCAGCTCGCCGGAGAAGTTGTTGTAGGAGAGGTCCATCATCTCGAGGCACAGAATGCGGCCGATCTCTGGCGGAATCGCGCCTGAGATGTTGTTTCTCGAGACGTTCAGCACGACGAGCGGGAGCCTGCTGATCTCTGGTGGCAGCTGTCCGGTGAGCCGGTTGTCGTCGAGGTGGAGCAGGCTGAGGTTCACCATCGCGCCGATCTCCGGAGGTATGTCTCCGGATAGCTGGTTCCTGGACAGCTGAACGTACCCGGAGATCGTGTAGGACCTCACCGGCGACGAGGAGTTGGTGCAGACCGGAACGATGCCGTATCCCTTGAGGATTCGGTCCCATATGCTGCGGCAGTTCGCCCGAGTCATGATGGAGTACACGAATCTGAAAGGGGGATAGCTCGCCGGGATCCACCGCCTCATGGCTTGACAATCGCCGGAGCCGGCGAGCACGCTGGAACCATTCCGGTTCTTGGCGAACGTCGGGCCGGGGTTCTTCCCTGTGTTTGCCATCTCCAGCGGGATGCTCCCGGTCAGCTTGTTGTCGGCCAGGTTCAACCAGAGCAAGCTGGTGCATTTGCCAATTTCCGACGGAATCTCTCCGGATAGCTGATTCCCAGCGAGCATCAGCCACAAAAGCGACGTGAGGTTCCCAATGGTCGCCGGTATCTCGCCGGAGAGGTCGTTATACGACAAGTCCAGCGCTTGAGCTCGGTGAGACGGCCGTACGCCGCCGGTATCCCGCTGGAGAATTGGTTGTAGGCAAGCATCAGGTACTTGAGGCTCTTCATGTCAGCCACCACAGGAGGGAGCTCGCCGGAGAACTCGTTATAGCTGAGGTCCAGCCTCGCGAGAAGCGGTAGCTGGAGCACGCCGGAGGTGACGATGCCGCCAGTGTAGTTGTTGTTGTGCAGCACAAGGTACCTCAGACTTGCAAACTTGCCAAAGGTGTCTTGCACGTCCCCTCCAAACATGTTGCTGCTGATGTCCAAGAACTGAAGCTTCGTACAGTTCGTCAGGGCCAGCGGTATCCGGCGATCGAAGCTGTTCTTCCCGAGAACCAGCGTCTCGATCGCGGCGAGCCTCCCAATTCCGGCCGGTATGAAGCCGTCGAAGTCATTCCCCCACAGAGATAGGTACGTCAGGTTCGCGCACTTGGCGATGGAGTCCGGGAAGCTTCCAGTCAGGTAATTCGCTGACAGGTCCAAAGATTCGAGCCTGCAGCCGTCCGGGAACGTGGCCGGCGGGACGCTCCCGGTGAGATTGTTCTCGGCGACGCTGAACTGCCTGAACCTCGCGACGCCGGGCCACAGCTCGCCGGTGAAGTTGTTCGAGCTGAGGTCGACGTACTCAAGCCTGGCGCAGCCGTCGAACATGCCGGTGATATTGCCTGTGAGCCCGTTGGTGGAGACGTTGAAAACGGCGAGGTCGGCGGCGCACATCGCCGTGAAGTTGGCCGCGACGCCGCCCGACAGCCGGTTCCCGGACACGTCGAGCGTCTGCAGCCTGGTGAGGCCGGACAGGTCTAGCGAGCCGTTGATGAGGTTGTGGGAGAGGTTGAGGCTCACGAGGCCGCGGCATTGGCCGATGTCGCCAGCCGCGGAGATGGTGTTGTCGGAGAGGTCGAGCTCGGCGAGCTCGGGCAGCCGCGAGAAGTTGCCGAACGCCGGGCCGGAGATGCTGGAGCTGGAGAGGTCCAGCGACGTGACGCGGCCGGACGCGTCGTCGCACCGCACCCCGTGCCACCCGCACGGCGACGCGTCGGACTCCTGCCACGCGTCGTAGGCGCCGCGGTTCACCCTGTTGTTGTCCTGCAGGAAGCGCTTGAGCTCCACCAGCACCTCCTTGTCGCCGTTGCTCTGCGCGCCGGCGGGCACCACCACCGCCACCTCGCCTTCAGGAGGACACGCGATCGCCACGGTTAGACGTGGAATTCGACTCCCACGCGGGGGACAGAACACGGCAGCCGAACAATCAGAAGAGAGCAAGAACAGGGGGCGAGTGGTGTGGCTTGGAGCGCCGAATCCTAACCTGCGACGAGGAGCAGGACGAGGAATCCGAGGAGCAGGGGAGACATGGCCTTGCTTCCCGAATCATGGAAGACACCGAGGCGAAGCGGGTGCACCGGCGACGGGGACGACGTGCCGAGCGGCGAGCAGCCTCCACATCCACACGCGCGTGCAGTCTCTTCCTCTGGTTCTCCACGGGGAGAGGTGAAGTAAGCAGAGAATAAGAGACAAAATCTTTGACACTTATCGCAAGTTATCTAATGGCCCGAGGCCCGCATGTGGGCGACGACGAGCACGCCAGCCAGTCGCTGCTACCGGCTGTCGTTGTTGCTCCCGGGCCTGGCATTTGAATGGATTGAATTGAATCCCTGCGTTTACTGGACACCACACTAATGCTCAATTCGTCAGAAACGGAGCTTGTGTTTACCGGTTGTGGCTTGGGTTCAATTTTTTTTAATTGCTAAGTACTTTTATAATACTGAATTGCTGACTGCACAGGGGGCAGATGAGAAAGAGAAAGGGGGAACTAGCTTGCTTGCTTGGTTAGTGGTCTTTGAATTTGTCTCCTTGTTTTCCGAATTAGGCCTGGACTTGTCACCGTATTGTATAATTTCGCCACTCGCTAAATCCTCCACGGGTTGGGGGTTTTCAACTGGAAAAACAGCGGGTCACCACTGGTTCACACTGCTGTCGCACGGGCACGAACGCCTCGACAGTGACGTTGGCTTAAAGAGACGTTATAGCGTGACTTGTCCACTGACCATAGAAAGGTACAGGGTTACCGCGAGGCTTGACTGTAATTAATTAAGGACTGCCGGTAGAACTCGTGTTCTTTTACATTTTGTGTGCCTTTAGGCAGCAACTTTGACCATTATTTTCTGTGTTATATATATAGCAAAATGTAGGGAGAAAAGTTTGCAAGATCGTGGAAATTTTTTGATCGGAGTGAATACAGTACATGTGATGGATATTTGCCCGTCAGGTCAGCGACGGCAGCCGCCCATGTTGACGACGCCGTACTCCAACGCGACTACTCTACCGAGTACCGACGCGTGACAGCTTGCTGCGGCAGTCTCGCGTCCAAATTACTCCGAAGCGAAGCGGAACGGGGGCCGTAGCCCGTAGGCCGTAGCCGTAGGGTCGGGAACTCGGGCAGGGCAGGCGCGTCGCGCACTCGCGCACGCCTCCGCCGGGCGCCGCGGCACGCGTGTGGTGGGCGTGCGCGCGCCCCGCCGCCCGCACTCGATCGAAGGGCACTCCATGAAGTTTCTAGATGCCAACACCCAGGAGGATAGAAAGGGCAGTGGGGCGCACGCCGGCAGACGCGAGTGGCGTCAGGCCTGGAATGTCCCCCGTCCCCGTCGAAGACCGCCGTCGTAAAGCGAAAAAGCGGTGGGTGGATGGTGGATCCTCGTGGATGAGCGCGTGCGTGGCCTACCAAACCAAGTCTGAGCGCAAGGTCGCATCTGAACGCAGCTAGTATGTGTTGTCTCCAAGGGGAAAAAGAAAGAGAGGTGACAGAAGAGAAGATGACACTTCGTCGAGCTTGGAGAAGCGAATCCTGAAAAAGTGAAAATGCATCAAGATGCAAGATATGATGACTGACAGCAGAACCGGGGCAAGAGGGAACACGGCCCACCTTGAAGATGCCCACACAATCCACAGACGGGGGGCATCGTATCATGAGTGCGTGCGTGGGTGCGCCTCTTTTGCATTGCATCGGTGGGCTCTGCTCGTACACTCGCCATGGGTTCCGTCGTTTTGGAAGTCCTAGTCAGCCGTTACGTATCGATAGTACGATTCAGGGTCAAAGGGCGGCATACGACCGAGGATGGACGGACTGACTCTCTTTAAACTTTTGGAGAGTCGACGAGTGCCGAGTGGCCAGTGGGACTGAGCGATTCTTCGTTCGCATGCAGCTCGATCGGCTCATCATAAAAGGCTTGACGAACCAAACGTTGTAGATTCTTTCGCAAAGGGAAGATCGACCCCGGCAGAGCTAACTATATTCACTGTGCAAAAAGGCGTAGTTTATTTCCAGCTAGTTTTGTTGTTAATCATTATACCAGCTATTTTTGTTGTTAATCATTATACAGTTCACCTATTATAGCTTGCTTATATATAATACTTACCATGGAATGGAACCGGAATGCAGCACTGCATGCATGGTTTTGTAGCTTTATTAGGCTTAACATTTTACGCGAATATAATGGTGATTCTGTATAAGCCAAACCAAAGTAGCTCAAGTTCAGAGCCGTACCACAGGTTTAACATTTAATGACTGTTTAATCGGGGCGGAGCCGGGATTCAAACATAGTACAGCAGTCTCCTAATTTTTTATTAAAATTCTTAGAATATAAATTGGTGTTGACTTAAAACAAATTATTGACCATGATGTTGGCTTAAAATACTATAAAACACCATATCTTTAATTTGTTTCTTTTCTTTATCTTGGACAGGTGTGAATAGTCTAAATTCAAGATAAAAAACGATATTGTTAATTAAAGGCCTGTTTGGATCCGTGAACTAATAACTAGCTGCTAAATTTTAGTCCTTGGAGATCAAACAGGTAGACTGATTGGTGGCTAAAGTTTAGCTTAGGACTCGAATAGTTATTAGATCACTTTGAAAAAAGACACAGCATACCCCCACGTAACTGCATCTTCGTTCGGCATCCTCTCGGTCTCTCAGGCATCCGTAGCGGCCTCCGCCACGCTCGTGGCCGACCTGCCCTGCGCCGAATTCTCCTGCTCGCAATGCTCTCCTGCACCGAATCCTCGGCTCGGCGCATAGCAAGGTAGAGGTGGTGGCGGCAGCGCCACAATCCTCGGCTTGACACTCAGCGACTCCCGCCGTGCGTCCGTCCTGCTTGACCACGGCAGCACGGCCTCCCACGGTCCCACCTCCCATTTTCCGCTGTCGTCTGACGAGGTACTCCGCCGCATGCACGTAGACGGCTCTTTTCCTTCTCTTTTTGTTATGTTGTGACTGTGAGCCCTCTCGCTTGATGGCTAGATTTTTTAACTTGTTCATCTATGATCAGCCTATTCGGCTGGTGCTGATACGATAGTATATGATCGTGGATTATTATTGCTGGGTGGTTTGGTGTGAGAGAAAAATACTGTTCTGGCTTATAATCCACGATCGTCTATGACCAAGCGAACAGGCTGAATGAACCTTGCCAACTCATGCACTGGAGCACTAATCATTAATCAGGCATTGCCTCTAGTATGTTTACGCTTGATTGCAATTTGCAACAGATTGTCAAAACAAACTTAGGGGTATAAATGACTTTGTGTTGAGATAGTACCAGGCCTGAACTAATCACTAGTCAACTAACTACTAGTCAGCTAATCACGAGTCTAGTTCATCCAGACAGGGCCTAAACCAACGGTTCACATCATATTTATTTTATCTAGCCATAAAGAATTGTACAATCAAGAGACAAAACTTGAGAAAAACATAAGAAGAAGATATATTTTATTTCTAGAACTTTGATTAGCTTAGTTGAGGAGATATTTGTATCTATAATCTCAAAAATTAATAGAACTAACAAAGATCGTAAGTATATATTGTAAGTATATACATGCAAGTTTAGGGGGGGGGGGGCATATGCCCCTGCACGCCCCCCTCTCCACCCGCCTGTTTAATCAAATGGACTAGTTGTTAGTTCAACTAACTTTTTATGTCTAAAGTGAACTAGTTGTTAGTTCAACTAATTTTTTATGTCTAAAGTTTAGACGACTAAACTACTAAAGTCCCTATCAATGACAAGTTGCATTGAAACCGTGGAAAAAAGTATCGTACGTGTTCTAATGCTATACCGCCTCATTTAGGAAAATCAATGTGCTTAAGTTCAATTCAATTATGGACGGTGTTGAGCCTTTTAGAGCAAAGTGACACCTAGCAACCACTCTTGATGACTGACCAAGCTCGAAGCCTCAAACAACGCAGCTATGGGACGAGCTTAGACTCTATTTCGGAGGCTTATCATATATGCACTCCTCACTTATAACATGTGCAAAACTATTTAACTTTTGGTTGTAGTACACTACATTGGTCAGGCTGATTACTTGTTTCGCCGTGCTCAACTTTTGAGCAGTGAGGAGGTGACTGGCAGCCCTCAGGTTGTTGCAGCCGCTAATGTGGTTAGTGTTGGATCTAGTGGTGGGGCGAGATGGCGGTGGGGGAGCCCCCACCGTCATTGAGCACCTATTCAGCCCCCACCACCATTGTGCACCTATAGCCCTTCCCCCAAGCCCTCGAAGTTTTTGTCATGTGAGTACAAATTAAAAAACGCTGAGTGATCTATAGGTTAAAGACGACAAGTACTCATGATGAACCAGTTTAGGCCAACACAGAGCAGATCAATAGGGCATGGACTATCCTAGTGGGGATTCATAGACATGAAAGAGAGGGCCTCTATTCTGGTCTAATAAGCCCTAAGTCACTAACAACGGTCGCATGTTCCCACAAAATTTCAACCAGCATCATTCCCAATTCTAGTGCTTAGCTCAAGATTTCAAATGACATCGTCCCCAATTCTAGCGCTTAGCTCGAGCGGCGGTAGCGCAGTATAGGACTGCCGTTTGTCGGAGGTTGGAGCAACCTAGAGGGGCAAGTCGTATGTGTGGATGCTTTGCTCATAGGAGACCCAAGGTCGAGAATGGCTATGGCATTTATATATATACGAGTAGCATATATATGATACTCAAATGTTATGTTATTTTTTCTTTTAGCGAAACAATGATGCAATATTAGCATGTGAATTGTATGCAAATTTTGTTTTGATTTAAGAGTCAAAGGTCGTATCTCATATGTTAGATTAAGAAATCCTGGCTTACCTTCCAAGTAATCTGTTTTACGATAGCATGTTTTTTATGTGGTGGTGCAGCGTCGCACGACATGTCGACATTAGTCAGAGCTGCAGATATTTTCTGAGGTGCCCCTGAGCCCGAAAGCGCAAGCAACTAAATTTCCATATATATTGCCCCAAGAGCCCGAATAATAATAATAATATCGTGGTTCGTTCACAACAGATGGGGACATAACGTCACGCTCCTCCTGGCTCCCGCTGATTCTTTCGCCGACCTTGACGTCCGCGCGAACATGTTTTCCTCCCATCTCGAACTTAAAATCCAGGTTTGTTTGCTTTCGTACGAAATCTTCGTCGTACGCGCTGCACGATCAGACGATCACCGTCCATGTGACAACACGTTCGTTATCTCCACGGGCTCTAATTTGGCTAACAATTGTTGGGATTAAATTTACTGCTTGCTTATTCAACTTTATTTACACGCACGCACGTGCGTCCGGCGTGTCACCCTCATCGGTACCCATCAGCCTACGAAATTCGTTGTGAAGTTTTGCTGATCGGAAATTCCTTGGGTTGAATTCATTTGAACACAGGAATTCAATTGCACGTGTGACACAGTGACAGGCATGTGCCTCTTGCAGTCCCTGCTCTCGTATGAATTCTTGGCATATCTGTAGCAATGCATTTAATTAGTGTTTTACTAGTTTCCAGCTTCTAACTATCCGCACCATCGCGTGTTTCATATGTGTGATTTATTTTGCGACCCATCGTCCCTCAAGTTTTCCCTTTTGTTCTTGTTGTAAAAAACTTTAGTCCCTTATTTGGATATCTAAATGATTTTAATTAAAACCATTTTAGCTACAAAAGTTACAGGTTCCATCGAAACCTACGTCAGGAAAGACCTGTTCCTGTCGGCCTGTTCCAGCCGGCTGCCGGTTTTTCGGTCTTGTCAGGAAAAACCGTGGGTCTGGTAGTGTACAATATATTTTTCGTATAGCCTCTCTATCTGAGTTCATATATAGGATAAAATGCTAAATCTAATTTGGAACATGACTGCATAGGTAATAAGTATCATGCATGCCAAAAAAGAGTCATGGCGATATCTATGTTGTCTTTGCACTCCTTCGTGGTCTTTATGTTTGACTATTGACTGTTTTTATGCATATATTTGACCACTAATTTTTTAAATACTTTATAAGTATTTTTTGGTATAAATTATACACATGTAAGTAACATACATATTTCCAAAATAAATAATTTAAAAGTTGAGGATGATTGTAGTTTATGTGGTTTGACTAAATCCTATCTAAAACGATATATTTCCATGACAATCAGTATTACATATCAATGTCATGACTTGGCATCGATGGTCACAATATATCTATTATTGTGTATAAGTGCTTGTTTGAATCATCTAGAACTAAAATTTTTAGTTGGACTAAAGTTTAGTCACTTAAAGTTTAGTTGGGTGGTGTTTGGACCAAATAAACTATAGGTGACTCATGCTTGATTAGGCTACACTGCCCTGTGCACATGTGAGAGATGAGAGAGGAAGGAAGGTGAGAGGGCATTTATGCCTTCTTGCGTTTTGTGTCAATTTTTAGTTCAACTTGGCTCAAGTTTGCCAGTAGTGAACTAATAAGGTGTCGTTTGGATGACTAGGGATTCTAGAAATCTGAATTATCTAGCGCGAAGCAGATCCTAAGATTTTTGAGTAATATTAAGACTTTAGAATCTGTCTTACTATCTCCCTCGATTGGATGGTGTATAGTTTTTTTTTTATCAAAATTCTAAATTCTTTAACTTAATCAAACGGGGTCTAGCTTGTTGGAGTTGAACTAGTACACCCATTAGTTCGTCTGTTTGGATGAACTTTAGCTAAAATTTAGATGAAATAGCGTTGAAGTTTTCTTTATACAATGGAAGCTTTATTACGCCTTAGCAAGATCATTATTGTCGATGGTTGTTGTTTTGAGCCACCCGATCCATTATTCCGAAAAAAAGAATGTTGTTTCGGAAGGAAACTTGTCACGCGCAAAACGAGAAACCAATGACGTGAACATTCGCGTGCTGCTGCTGGTGTATCTGTCCAGCAACTTCGTTCTTAGGCCATGTTTAGATTGCAAAAAATTTCAACCCGATGAATAGTAGCACTTTCGTCTTATTTGGTAAATATTATCTAATCGTGGACCAACTAAGTTCAAAAGATTCATCTCGTGATTTCCAACTAAACTGTACAATTAGTTATTTTTTTACCTACATTTAATGCTTTATGCAAATGGCTAAAAATTGATGTGATGGAGAGAGAGTGAAAAAACTTGGAATTTGGAAGATATCTAAACAAGGCAAACAAGGCCTTAATTGGGGTCGGTTCCTATTGAGCTCAACTTCAAAGCTCAAACCCGTGCTTTGACTTGCTAGCCTTGCTCTGCGCTGCACCTGGACGCCTACGTCTCTCCAGGCCTCCAGGGTGAGCGTACGGACTAAACTACAAGTCAGTCTACGTGACCAGCTGAGCTGGGTGTGATGTTCTCGGCTGTGGATCGGAACCGGACGAAATTCGGTGAGCTCACGTACAGCTGGGAGCTCGGCTACGTGCAGCATATCAGCACGTGCGATCCGGCCTTTTCGTTTGGTGTCTGTGCTCGGCACAAGATACTGGGACGACGCAGCATCTTGGATAAACTAATCGTGTGTAATTAACCATCGCAATCCGTTTCAGAACCAGGGAAATCGAGGCGGAATTATGGTTGTTGGACACATCGGCGCCGGCCGGGACGGTGGTTGGCTCTTGGCTGGTTGGCGGCCCCGAGCTAGGCGCCGGCGCCGGCGCCGCGCGTATGCATACGGCACATGCGTAGCGAGCGAGACGGGCGAGTATTAGCGCAGCGGTTAACCGTCGCGATCGGCGTCGCCGCGACCTCGCCGACCTGGCTTGGCTTCGCTCCTGTTCTGTCTGTTCCGGGCCTGCTCCCAGCTCCCCCACCGTCGTCGCGATCAGCGGCACATGCGTGCGCGCGTTGTTGGCTGTCCTCTGGCGCTCCTTTAGCTAGCGCGCACGCATCGGCATCGCCGCCGCGCGGAGCCGGGGGGTCGTGGCGGACCCGCGAGAGGCGCCGCCGTCGGCAGAGACGGGGCAACTGTCAAAACTGGGCATGGGATCGAGTGATCGACCGCGCGGCTGGCGCCTGGCGCCTGGCGGCAACCGTCAAGGATCGAGGTGTGCCGCGAGACTGGAGCGGCGTACGTGTACGTGACGTGCACACGTGAAAAGTCGCGTGCGCCATGCCTAGCTAGGGAGGGTATCTGTGCGGTGTGCCGTGTGCGGCATGTTTTCGGCATGCTTTGGTCTTGCGTGGAGTGGAGGCGCGGGCCTAGCGGGGGACAGCTCGGGTGACGGTGGGTGGGCCGAAGTTTGTGTTGCGTTGCGGGCAGGAACTGTGGGTTTTCAGCGGTGTGTTTTGTAGGCCGTTTCTGCACAACAAACTCAGTGCTAGTTGCCGGGCCTGGCGCAGAACGGCCTCCGGAAACTGGGCTGCTAGCCTAATAGCCCCAGGACTCTCATAGGGATCCTGCATTCCTGCTGTACGCTTCGGCTCTGCAGGTACACGCTTCAGCAATTATGGATGGCAACGGGCACATTACCCACGAATAGAGGTTTTACAAACCAGTACCCGCAAGGCAAACCTTGTGCCCGCACTGCGCGCTCGCGATCCATCACGGTCACGAAATTGAACCCGCACCCGTCACCCGTGGGCACAGTGTATCTACGGGCACACCCGTGCCTGCCAACCAGATCACTAATTCACAGTTCGCAATCACAAACCTATACAGATCACAGATCCAATACACAACCACACAAATTCACAAATAACAGTTCACAACTATTGTTCAACATCTTAATAATAAGAGTACAAGCCAAATAAATATGATTCAACAAGCACAAGTGACAAGTCTAGAACATCACACACATGGCTCAAATCACACAAATATTGTTGACATAACAGATACAAATGAACAACAAGCTTAATCAGAGTCGACGGTAGAGATGCAAGGTTCTTCCTTTATTTCTTCTCCGATGTCTTCAAGGCAAGACCAAAAAGTGTCAATCTTTCCATCATCTTGACCTACAAATACACATTGGAATAAGAAGATGACATTAGTAAGCTGCTGTCATAAGATCATTAGAATGAGATGACAACATTGACAAGCTGCAGAAATCAAAAGCATAATTCTTTACCTTTAAGATTGTGATGAAACCAACTTTGGCTGCACATCAAAGCTTCCAACATTTGTGGAGTAAGACGGCTGCGATGCTCACTTATAACCCTCCCACTAGTGCTAAAAGCGGATTCGGAAGCTACTGTGGTTATGGGAATTGCCAAAATATCACGAGCAATCAACCTCAAAGTAGAGAAGCGAGCTCCAGCCACCTTCCACCAATCCAAGACATCAAAGTACTTATTCTCATCATGAGGAAGAGGATTTTCGTCCAAGTATCGATCTAACTCACTCTTTGATTTAACAAGACTTGAGGTCTTCTTAGTGGCAGCAAGTATTTTGAATATGGACAAAACAACAGAAGTGTAGTTCATGGATCTATCATTCTACTAAATAAAGAATGAAGAAAAAGTGAGAGGACAGTGACTAACCTGGGACGGCGACGAGAATACAGGCGGCAGGCGGAGCGCCCTTGTTGGCAGCGGGCGCCGGGCGGTGGACCGGGTGGCGGCGGGGAGGTGGGCGACTAGGCGGGGGCCGGGGAGAGCGGTGGCGGCAGGGAGGTGGTAGCGGGGGGAGCGAGGGCGGGCGAAAAAAGTGGCGGCGGGGAGGTGGTGGCCAACGGGAAGGGATGGCCGACGGCGGTTGACGGCCGGAGGGGAACTGGCGGCGGCCGCCTGGGCGTAAGGCGTGGGAGGCTGGGAGCGGTCGAGCGAAAGCCGAGGGAGGCTGCGCCGCTACGGCCTGGCGTGCGGGAGGCCGGGATTGCGGCTGTGCGGGGAAGGATAAGGGAACCTTAGAAAGTCCTTTATACTCCTGTACTTGTGCAGCAGGCCCACATGTCAAGTGGGTTTATGGGCACAGGTAAGATATTTTCATACCTACAAAAATTTTACCTACGGTCACAAAATCAAACCCGTACTTATGTTGTAGGTATAAAATGGTATCCGTATCCTCACACTTATGGTTTTTACCCACGGACACGCGGGTAATTTTTACCCGTTGCCATCCATACCAGTAATGGCGACCAGAGCGCTATCCTTCTCCTCGCTCGCCTCCACGGTCTTCGCCTCCCTGCCGCGGCCCTCACCTTCGCCTCCCCTCCTCCTCCTTCTTGGTCCTCGCCCCCGCGCCTCCTCTCTCTCCACCGCCGCTGCCGCTGCTCCCGACGACGAGGACGGCGTCGACACCGTGGAGCAGCTCCTGCACCCGCGCCCGCGCCCACCCGCCGCCTCCTCCGGCTCCCGCGGCCGGATCGACCGCCTCATGAAGCTGCAGCGCCGCGCCGGCGGCGACGCCGTGCCCGGGGCGGCGGGGCCCGGGGTCCGGAGGAGGTGGTTCCCGTACCTGGATGCGTTCCGGCCCGCGGCGGCCGGGGGCGCGGAGCTGTGCAGCGGGGAGGTCATCGAGGTGCTGGAGCCGCGCATCCTCGAGGCGCGGCGGGACCGGATTCGACGAGCCGTTGGCAACCGGAGCTACGCCGTTTGCCTTGTGGTGGAAGGCCTCTCCGACTTCGGCAACGTCTCGGCCGCGTTCCGCTCCGCCGATGCGCTCGGCGTGCAGTCCGTGCACGTCATATCCTGTGATGCAGCAAAAGGTGCAGAGGTGAAGAGTGAACCTAAATTGCTGTATAACACTGAGTAGTTTGCATAATAAATTGCCTGCTCTATTTTGAGGTGCCAGATAGGTGATAGGTATTGTGTTTGGGTTCGTGCATTTTGTTTACTTAATTCAATGAGCTTGAACTACATGATTTACTTTATGCATTGTGTTTGGGTAGACTATGCTGTTGCATTTTAGAACTGTGAAAAGGTCCCTACATAAACAGATTGATCTGCATTCTTAAAGTTGACAGATTGGCTACTGGATCTGTACTCTCGCTAATTAGTTCTCATTCTCAACTTGGATGGATCATGAAAGGATTTTTTTTTTGCAGATTACTATTATACTAGTGTTTTCACAATGATCGTGTGTTCTGTTTAGATTTTTTAACATATAGGAGTATACTGAGGAGTTGTTAAACTAGATATCCATTAAGGGTGAAAATTCACCAGTTTGACATTACATCCTTTGGAAATGATAACATTACATCCTTTGGAAATGATAGGTTCCACTCAAGTAAACTGTTCTTCCTCATTCAAATACTTCTTTACTTTTGCAGGTATAGAGACAACAGGCATGTGAGCATGGGTGCTGAGAAATGGCTTGACATTGAGATATGGAACTCACCTGCAGAATGTTTCAGTGCATTAAAAAAGCGTGGTTATCGCATTGCGACCACTTATTTGGGAACTGATTCGGTATTTTTTCACTCTTCAACATTTTAGTGATTTGGTATTTTTTTACTCTTCTACATCTTTTGTCATGTACGGCCGGACCTATACCAGGAGGCGCCGGGCCCGTGACATCAGGCGTGCAGCTGAGCGCGCCCAGCGCGTCACGGACGCGGCCCAGGGGTTGGCCGAGCCTTCTAGTGGCTAATATAGGCAATAGTTGTTAGTATCCCTAAGATTGAGGAGGGATTAGTTACTATTTTTATTCCATCAAGGATTATATATTTCCCCTGTAACCGGCACCTTGGAGGATAAGAAAGATATAAACCAATATGTCTTCTTCCTCCCAACTCTCAAGCCTAGGTCATTTGAGGGTATAACCTCGCCTAGAAGAGGCGGATCGCATCGCTCACAATTACGTAGCGAGGTCCGGCTACTCAAGGGTTTGGCGCCCTTGACAACACGGTATCACGATCCCGCGATCCTCTTCTTTCAAGCGCTCCGACCGCCGACCCACGCCACTCCACCTCCGATCCGGCCAGCCATCACCCGCGTCCTCCTCCGGCCAAAGAAGATATGGCGACGATCTAAGGTCCACCGTTGAGTCGCTCGCATAATGGCGATCCGGCGCCGCAGACCACCACCGTCGAGGCCAACGCGACGGCGATCACAACCCTTTCCACCGATCGCTTCGTCATCCTTGGGCTCCAAGCAAGCCCGGCGTCCCTTCCATCGATCGTCCTCCTAAATTCCGGAAGATGGATTTCCCCAAAGGCACGATGGCAAGTCCGATCCGGCGATCTTTCTCAATCATTGCGAATCCTACTTCCACCAAAGAACGGATCATGGAGGAGAGAAGGTTTGGATGGCCTCTTACAACTGGAGGACGGGCCCGGATGTGGTACATCCAAGTCAGACGGACGAGGGTACTCCATCATGGCGCCCGATTCAAGGAGCTCATCAACTGCTGATGACAGCCCGCCCTGCGGTCCGCGCCTCTATTCGAGCTTCATTGATTGCCGCCGCAGACCAAAGACCGTCGCCGACTATCGGGATCGGTTCAGAGGCTGCCGCCGCACGGGTCGGCCCTCGGCGAAGGCGCTTGCTGCGTCGGCTCTTCACCGGCGGACCATCGCCCCGCGATAACCTCGGCGTGCGGTGCACAACCCCGCCCTGGCGGCGCGATGAGTTTGGCCCGCCCGGTTGAATCGCGAGGCGATTCACGGCGCCCTCGACCACCGCAGATTAGCATGGCGCTTAGGCCGCCGCCCGGCCCGCCCCACGTCTCTGCTGCCGTGGCGGCGACCACCTCTCCACCGGCCGCCATCGATCGGCCGACCACCGATCAGCGGTGGCGTCGCCGGCGAGGAAAAACGTCGCCGTCTCGGCCTCTCTACAAGCTCGCGACGAAGTTCTTCCGCGCCATAACCGGGCAGCAAGCGCCTCTTCTTCCCGGGCGGCACCGTGGAGGACGGCGACATGGAGGAGCCCGCGAGGAGGCGAGCTCGAGAGTCGCCCGCTTTCTCCCTGCAGCCATCGCCGGTGTCCGCCTCGGCGACACCATGCGAGTCCACGTCGGTGTGGCGCCACTTCGCCTCGTCGCGCTTTTGGACTCGGGTCCACGCACAACTTCATCTCGGACGGCGCGCGCGGCTCACGCCCCCTCTCCGGCTCGACCACGTCTCACCGCCACCGCCGCAAGCGGGGGCGCGTGTGTCGTGCGTGTGGCATCGCTTCGCAACGCGGCGTTCTCCATCCACAAAGACGCCATTTTGCGCCGACCTCTACGTCATGCCTCTCGCCCGGCCGACATGGTCCTAGGGACCCAAATGGCTCGCAACGCTGGGACCCATTGTTTGGGATTTCAGACACCAGACTGTCTCCTTTCGGCTCGAGGGGCGCGAGTGTCTTTGGAGTGGTCCGCTGCGGTGACCACGACCGATGCCCACGCCACCTGCACCACGACGCGTCTCTGCTGGGCGAAGCCGCCGAGAGCTTCTCCGACCTCTTCGCCGAGCCGAGTGGTACGCCTCCTCCTCGGGCGGCGACAACCACATCGTCCCTCGGCCGGGTCCCGGCCGGTGGCGCGTGCGCCCATACCGTTACCCGACCACGCACAAGGATGAACCGGAGCGGCGATGCGCGCGCCATGCTTCAAAGCAAGGGCTCATTCGGCGAGCTTCGTCGGCGTTTCGTTCCGGTCCTCCTCGTCAAGAAGGCGGATGGCTCCTGGCGCCTCTGCGTCGACTACCGCGCTACAAACGCCATCACGATCAAGGACGCCTTCCGATCCCGGTGGTCGATGAGTCGCTCGACGAGCTACACGGCGTAAAATTCTTCACCAAGCTCGACCTCCGTTCCGGCTATCACCAAGTCCGGACGGCGCCGAGGATACCGCCAAGACCGCTTTTCGCACACACAAGGGGTTGTACGAGTTCTCGGTGATGCCGTTTAGCCTCTGCAGCGCCTTGACCACATTCCAGAGGCGATGAACGACGTCCTTCGCGCCTTCCTCCGCCGGTTCGTCCTCGTATTTTTTGACGACATTACGATCTGATGCGTCTGGCGAGATCACCTTCGCCACCTCGCGTCGTTCTCTCCGCCTCTGCGCCACCACCGCCTCGTCGTCAAGCGATCAGAAGTGCGCGTTGGCGTCACCTCCATCGCCTACCTCGACCACATCATCTCCGACGCCGGCGTAGCCATGGATCTCGCAAAGGTGCGGCGGGTCCTCGATCGCCCGGCCCGCTTTCGGCGGCGTGCATTGCGCGGGTTCACAGGCCTCGCGGGCTACTACCGCAAATTCGCCCACAACTATGGCGCGATCGCGCGCGCTCTCACCGCGCTCTTGAAGAAGGAGGGCTTCATACGGTCCGAGGAGGCCGCCACGGCGCTCTCGCCCCCAAAGTCATGCGGTGACATCCGCGGCCAAGATTATTGGCGCCGATTTCGCCAAATTGTTTGTCGCCGAGCGCGACGCGGCGAGCACACCTGCAGTTTGGCGGTGCTCATCCAGACAAGCATCCCATCGCCTACTTCAAGCGGGCGGTTGCTCCTCGCCACCGCTCCCTCGCCGCATCTTAACGGGAGCTCATTGGCCTCGTCCACGCCATCCGCCATTGGCGCCCGTACCCTCTGGGGCCGCCGCTTCATGGCGCGGACCGATCATTCTGATCTGAAGTATCTCATTGGACCGGCCGGCTTGCCACGATCCCGCAGCATCATTGGGTGGGGAAGCTCTCGGGTTCGACCGGCAAGTGGAGTACAAGCCGGGCGCCCGAACACGATCGCCGATCTACTGTTGTCTCGCCGCGACACCGAGGACAAAGACGGGGGCGGTCTTGGCGTTGTCTGCGCATACGTTTCGACTTCATCGACCGCCTTCGTCAAGCATTGTGTCGTGGATCCGGCTCGTTGCCCGCCGGGGACGAGATCGTCGCGAGCACCCGCAATAACAATACGGTTTGACGGCCAAATACTTTCTTTAATAGATGCATCTTGTCTCCGTAAATCATTTGGACATACTAATAGATGCATCTTGTCTCCGATAATACTGGTTTGACAAGATAAATCTTGTTTGTACAAAATAAGCTGCTGCACTTTTCACGGAAAAACAACAGATGATCGTGCATTCAATGACACGTGGCATCCGAAATTTATGTGGAATACTGGATCATAGATTTCGAAGGAAACCAATAGATAAAGATACCCAGAGTATAAAATTTTGTGTGTCACAAATGGATTTTTGGAGTGTAATCAATGACATATGTATCAGTTGTTCACCATTCATCAGGATTTAAGTTTTCTGTTACGGCCTCGGGATCTCGGGGCATAGGGGTGTGAGGAGGAAGGGTGAGGCTTGAGATCCCGTGGCCGGATCGGTGGCATGCCGCGCCGCTTTCGGCGCTGGATTGTCGGATCATGAACAGTAATCCGAACAGGACCGCGCCAGAGAGCGAGAGAGGTAATCTCGATCCTCTGGCTAAACTTTATTAAGCACACATGTTCAATACTTATACTCCAATCCTAACAACTTTCAGTTAATGCAAAGGGATAACAACTAATCGACTCATATCCTCTCGAACTCTCTCCTAAACTCTAGGATCTAGCAACCGACGCCTAATCAAGGCGCTCTAGGCGTGCGTGGCGATGGTGATCCGCGCCCTGGCCCGGCTCGGCGCCTTGGCCCGATCCACTTCTCACCATCGCCGCCTTCTTCCTTGTGTAGGCGTTGCCCACCATAACATCTCCCCCCTCGGAAAAGCAAACTGATCCTCGATTTGGAAGGAGGGGTGCTGGTGGCCTGAAGCGCCACTTGGTTCCCAAGTAGCTCGGAGGCCGACATGTTCGCCCACTAGACCGAGAATGTGC